GAAGACCTGAAAATCAGTCAGAGGCATATCACCAGTATCAAGAGTGTGTGGGGAGGACTTGTCAACTACTTTAAGGGCAAACCGGAAACAAAGCCTACACCTGAAGAGCCAAAGGCCTATCAGGCTAACGAAAGGCAAGTTTCTCTTCCTCCTCTCTCGTGTCAGTTTCTTATTGTCACTTTCCTGTTTGTTGTAGACCAGATTATTGTGTGTCTATCAGCTCTTGAAGCTTTTGTTAAGCAAGAGGTTACTGGCGTTAAAGCATGTTTTCAAGGAAACTGAATATTTTCTGTTGGTTTGAATTAAATCCAGATCATACCATGTTGTTGTAACATGTTTTGGAAAATGCACCTACTGTTATTTTAAGATGAAATTTCAATCAAAGTTTATAAACATAAAAAAGCAGAGGAGAGAAACATTACAAATTGAACGTTAATCATATTTAGACAAAATATTAATGTTAAGCATGAATTTATGAACAATTCATGTTTAACGTGAATTTATGTTATTCATAATTTATTTGATTATGAAGTGTTTTGTATGACTCTTTGACAAAGACATTGATACAACATGTTATTTAAATGCACAGCTTGAAATTTGGTCAGAGCAGATAAAGTCATTTCAGATGGGATTATATATTGTTTTTCACTGATTGGCTGAACAATGCTTTCCTAACTGTCTCAGACTACAGACTGCCATGTCTGGTAGCAGAGAACATGAGGATAAGTACCAGGCCAGCCATCCCAATCTGAGAAAGTTGGATACAGGAGGTGAGAGCTGACACAAGGAAGATCTCAGTTTGTGTATCATCAGCTGGCTGAAACTATTTCTAATTCTTGTGTTTCAGGTTTTGGAGCTGCTGCATCGATGGAAGACAGCTCCTCCAGACAGAATGGATCTCATCAGAACAGATACCTGAGGAACGCTCACCAGACACTTGACAACAATTTAGGTAACAAAAATCTATCCATTTTAATTATTATAATTAAGTAACTAGTTTTAAAGTGTTTTAGTAATTCTGAAAAATACTCTTCAAATCATTATGTTGTCTTTGTCAACCCTGAATTCTTTTTAATACAACTTTTGTAAATATTAAAACATGTTTATTTTGCTTTTGGTTTTAAACATGTAATCATAAAATATGTATACAATTCTACTTTAGAAAAAAATAAGAGATCCCTATACATAAGAGATAAAGAGTTTGAGTTCAAATAGCTCTTCTAATATTTGGTTAACGTAGGAATAATGTCTAACTTTCTCTGTGAATGACTCAGATGAGATGTCCAGTGGCTTGGCAAGACTGAAGAACCTTGGACTCGGCCTTCAGGCAGAGATTGATGACCAGGACGACTCCATCGGATCCCTGCTTAACAAAGTGGATAAAATGGATGCCAAGATCATTAACACTAACCAGCAGATGAAAAACCTTAAATAAAACTCACTAATTGAACATTAGATACAAACTGGCAGTGGGTCACCCTCACTAGTGACCCATCCACCTGGCCTTTGTCCAATAAAGAATAGTCTGTTTCATTTTTATCTTTTTTTAGTTTATCTTCCACTAGAAAATAACTGTGATTTCTTATTTCTTTGTCAGGAATTGAAATGTGCTTTTCACATATGCTCTGTTTTTTTTCTCTGTCAAGTCTCACTGCATTTCTGTCTTTATGTTTCATAAAGTTTGTTTGTTTGTTTTTGCCCAGTCACCAAAGATGCGCATTGGAATGTTTCCTAATTTACATCTCAAGCAAACTGATTTGAAAGATGGAGATCATTTTAAGATGTAGGGTCTCAACATGTGTTTGTCTGTTTTTATGTATACTATTTTATGTATACTATTTAGCTAGCTTGAATGTATAAACAAAACACAATCAAACAAAACATTTAGCTGAAGTCACGTTTGCCTTACATGTGGGGGAAATATAAAGTCTTTAGTTCCATGACAGGATTATGTTTCAACCGGTGCTTCTTCCCACAAAATTGTTTGCTTTGAATTTGTCCTTATTTGATTTGCACTGATTCAGTCCTGCACAATTATTTCAAAGCATAAATAGTATCAACAAGCTATTATTTGTTTAAAAAAAAATCAACAATGAAGGAATAAACCCACTATCAAAGTTGTAATGTTAAATATCTACAATGTATTTTGTTTCCAAGTTAGAAATATGATAGTTTCTCAAAATTATTTTATAATTCTGTTGATTTATTTGAAAAATTTGTAATGTTTCTAAGCAATGTGTAATTTTTGCCACATGTGTCATGCATTTTAATTCAAATGATATAATAAAGAACATTCTTTTGGGACTCCGTCTTTCTGAATAGTTTAAATTTTGTGCAATATCACCAGTGCCACAAGATGGCGCTATACTGCTTGATCAGCTGCCGAGAAAATGTCACATGTAATAAATAATACGTTGTTGAATAAATCTAAAAGGATGCATTTTGTGTTAGAACTGCACAAGAAAACAATTATACTTTAATTACTAAGAGAACATTTTGGCAATCTCTGTTAATAAATTATTTTACGTCTGGGGTGTGTGCCACCTGTTGTGAATAGATCATCTCCCTATGTTAGGCTATCCATTCATTATCATTCCTTGGTGTGAGTCCAGCTGCTCCCACGGGCAGAACAAGCATTCATCAGCATGACTTGCTAATTACAGTATCAGCCTCCTCAACATATTTCAGCCATACAAAAGGAGGAAGACATTTTTGTAGTGCCTTAAGCAAAACTCATTCTGAAGTGTAAGTGGTGTTATGCCGATAATACAAAATGTTACATTTTTGAGTGTGTCGAATATGAGTGAATAGATGTACCAGAATAAATACAGAACTTATTGCAAAAATGCAAAGTTGAATTCTGTACTCATCAAATTATGAAAACTGTTAGATACTGCAATATAATTTGGGGCTTAGATGTCAAGGTTAGCCACAAACATTGACATCTAAGGACAAACTGTTAGCCAGATTGTCCTTTTCTTTCAACTATCTTAAAATATCACAAAAATTCAGGCTTTTCTTCCAAAACCGGACTCAGTAAAAATGGTTGACGGAGGAACATAACATCTGCAGAAGCTCATCCAAAATGCTCCTGCCAGAGTTTTAACCAACACCAGAAAAACAGGCCACATCAGCACACTCCTTAATTCACTATATTTAGTTCATCATTGACCTGTTAACCCAGTGTTGCTTGATTTAAAACTATACTTGTTTTATTGTTGGCAACATGATGACACTTTGAAATAGACCTTTTTACAAGGGAAACCTAAGCTCAGGGTGGAAACAGACACCGTTTGACTCCTAATAAACAGAAGTTACCTTCACAACATACATGTGGACTACAGGAACGCTTTGAACAGCTGTCAGGTAAAACGAAAACAGTGGCCATGTTGTGACAAAAGCACAATGTTGGAATGCCTCGCTTTTCATAAACTGTAATCCCAGAACACACGGCTGTCGGACCCCATCAGGCACCAAGCTAGGATGGGCCTAACTGCCCTTTGCGAAGCAGGAGCAATAGCTAAATCATTTTTGTGATTTATAAATTCAGCTCTAACTGTACTTGTAAAAATCTATATGAAGTCTCTTTGTGTGTGAATGGAAGGCGTACTCATTGAGCAAATGTTTTTTTGTTTGTTTTGTTATCCAAAATATCTAAGATAGAATGGGCGAGGCCTAGAGAATGGAACTGCACCACTCATTCAGACGCAAATTCTAACATTTTGGTTAGATAAGATGTTATGGTACTTTATGAAATGAAGATATGATGGATGAACATATAAAACCTTCATCTGTGGAGTATTCATATCATCCAGGCATACAGAAATATCGGACTAGTAGTCAGTTTGAATGCCTGAAATCAATTCCTGTGATAGAAACAACTGTATAAATGTCATATAAACTTCGATTTATTGGGCAAAAGCCTTCTGCCCAGCCAGCACACCTAGGTGGGCCCCATATGGGATATAAGTGGGCAGGCAATATGGGTCCCAAAAGGGTTTGTCCACGGTTTCCATGGTGGCCCCACATGGGTTTGCCCAAGTAGATTTTAATGGGTGCTGACTGGGTTTTCAGTGGGTCCCACATGGTTAACTCACATGAGGCCCATCTGTGGCCCACTAGGGTGCTGTCAAGAATATTTACGTGGGTCCCAATTGGGTCTGAACTGGGCTAGAATATGGGTACCAAGTGGGTTTGTCCACGGTTTCCATGGTGGCCCCACATGGGTTTGCCCAAGTAGATTTTAATGGGTGCTGACTGGGTTTTCAGTGGGTCCCACATGGTTAACTCACATGAGGCCCATCTGTGGCCCACTAGGGTGCTGTCAGGAATATTTACCTGGGTCCCAATTGGGTCTGAACTGGGCTAGAATATGGGTACCAAGTGGGTTTGTCCACGGTTTCCATGGTGGCCCCACATGGGTTTGCCCAAGTAAATTTTTATGGGTGCTAACTGGGTTTTCAGTGGGGCCCATGTGGTTAACTCACATGAGGCCCATCTGTGGCCCACTAGGGTGCTGTCAGGAATATTTACCTGGGTCCCAATTGGGTCTGAACTGGGCTAGAATATGGGTACCAAGTGGGTTTGTCCACGGTTTCCATGGTGGCCCCACATGGGTTTGCCCAAGTAGATTTCAATGGGTGCTGACTGGGTTTTCAGTGGGTCCCACATGGTTAACTTACATGAGGCTCATCTGTGGCCCACTAGGGTGCTGTCAAGAATATTTACGTGGGTCCCAATTGGGTCTGAACTGGGCTAGAATATGGGTAACAAGTGGGTTTGTCCACGGTTTCCATGGTGGCCCCACAGGGGTTTGCCCAGGTTGATTTCAATGGGTGCTGACTGGGTTTTCAGCGGGACTCAGATGCCTTAATCCTGTAGGAACAATTCTCATCTAACCTGGATGTGAATTACATTCATAGATATGCAATCTTGATCAACAATCCAAAGTCTAGCTTAAAACGTGTTCAAATAAAAAATAAAAAAAAAGAGATGAAAAATTTATTTTGCTCAAGGCTTTTATTTAGTAATTTAAAATATTGTCAGGAGTTATTTTTTACCTCACTACAGCAATTATTAGAACTTCATTAATACTCAGGGAATGGTGCCACAAAAAGAAATCTGCAATTATTCACGACATCTTTGAAAATAACAGAAGCTAGTTTACTATAACAAACTTATAAACAGATCTATAAATATATATCTATAGATGCACACAAATAAAGACACCTACATATTTTCCTACAGGTCTATAAATGTATACATCTAAATACTATCTATATAACTTTATACACGTATGTTCACATTGATACACACAATGTGAATATACACACCTATATAGATCTTTCACAATACATTTTTGTTAAACATTTTTAAAAATAACCTACATGCCATATGCATGCTTAAATTTGAAATCTCTCATACTTTACTGAAACTGTCCATCTTGAAAGACCTCCCCAACCTGAGTTTGAACTGGCAGTCTCTCTAGTCTATTTCCACTTCAGTGTCGGGCTCCAGTAAACCACTTCGAGAGTCTTTGCTGTATGCTTGTGTGATTCTGTAGATGGATAATTTCTTTTAAGTCCCCTGAAATAACAAGCAAAGGTAGAAATTGTATTAGTGTTTCATTTTAGCACAATGTAACATTCATGAGATTTGCATCTCCCCCTTCATGGGGCAAAAATGCTTGCAGAGATATGCCATAATCAAAAGGACTCTTGAGTCATCATTATTATGTACAGAAACTATATTCTTACTGTAAATTTAAAATATATCCATCTATATAAATCAACTACTAGGTTCTATCGTGGTTTTGTGGTTATTTTAATATTGTTTGAAATGCAAACAATATTACCTTCAAATTTGTAAGTTCTTAACAACAGTGAAAGAATACTGTTCAAATAAAACCAAAAATTGAAGACTCAATTTTTAACCTAAAAACATTACTAAAAATAACAAACAAAAGCATAAAACAACCAAAATAAATTAACATATGTTTAAGAAAGAAAAGTGAAAAAAAAAGTTACTCTGACAATAAAAACTGATATTTACCATACAAAACATCAAAGAGACGCAGGTCCAAGAGCTTGTTTCCAATGTTGGCCAAAAAGGTTGAACTGGACTTCCAATTCATGGGACATGAGGAATCGCACAGCTGGTTGTATTGTGTCATCTAAGGATGCTCCTCCAATTTCTGTAGCCATGGCAACCTTAAGTACAATGACAATAACAGGACAACATTTTGTTTTTGTTCATCAGTTTGTCATTATATCACTCTTATGTGCTTAATTTCACTAACATATTAATCTACCTTTTTCAAATCATTATAAAGTGATCTTCACACGCTGATCCTCTTGAAGCCTGCAAAAATATATTTTATTAGTGCAATATAACATTTAGACTTTTCAAAAAAATAAAAAAATTAAGGCAAAACAGCCTTTGTATAGATTAACTACTGAAGCCTTATATTGTAAACACTGAACAGTTTTGCAATTATCCTAATTTCTTTGTTAACGTGACAGGACTAAGACAGTAGTATTACTCTTAAGAGAAGTTTAGAAAATCACTATAAATGTAACTAATAAAGCCTAAAACATTGCACATATAAAAAAATTAGAGCTACAATTAAATATAAGTACATTTCACATAACTGCTAGCTAAATATTGCAAAAATATCAAAAAGAATTTCTTCATCTTTCAATATTTGTTTCAGGCTTGGCCACTGATTGACATGATGGGTTTCAATTTACGGACCCACATGCAGTAACCACACGTTGGATAGGGATGAGTGAGTGATTTATTTACAACAGGACAAAATAAAATCTATTTCCCGGACATCAGCGGAAGGGTGAGGACCACTCGACCAGGTTGGCCTGAAACGAGAACTTAGTTATGACGGGCTTAGAATGAGTGATCGGAGGGGAAACAGGAACAGGCTTACTTCGGTGCGGGTCTTTCGAGGCGTGGGTGTGAGATGCCAGGTTCCTGAGAGAGGGTGTGCAGTGGTTCCGAAGGTAAATGCGAGGTGGGAATGGAAGAGAGCTGGAAGCTCGAAGGGTGGAGTGGAGGCAGTGGAATCGGCGGAGCGAGCAGGCAGGTATTCACTGGTGAGTTCTCGAATGAGGCGACAAAACCCCTAGGATCGAACAAACACAGAGACCAGGTGACTTCTAGTAGACACAGAAACGTTCTCAGAAAACTGTTCACAACAGGAGAGGCCAGAGTGACTACCGGTGTATGCAACCATCTAGCATACACCAGTAGAATCTTCAGTCAATCTAGCGTAGACTGAAGATTCTGCTGCTCCTCCACCTGTGCCAAGCTCCACGGGCTCCTCGCTGAAATAAGATGCGACACTCACATACACACACAGGAACCCTGACACTGATGACTACTCTAGACCAACACAATAGCGGCAGATTGAAATAAACTATGACATAACAAAACGCTTTAAAGTGTCACACAACAATTAAAAAAAGAATTTAAAAATATGAACTACAATGCCTTCATCCTATTTACAAAAAACCTTTTAGGCCCAATATACTGAAACCACATGGGCCCCATATAGTGTTCCCATTTCTGTCCCATGCCCGGTTAGCCCACGTTAATGCTGAATTGGGCCCATACATTTAACCCAATTGAGCCAACAATATGAGTCCCATTTCGGTTAACCTTTTGAGCCTCACGCAGTTGGCCCAGATAAAACCATGCCCTCTTATCATTACCTATATAGCCCAAAGCTAAACGATTCAATGCAGTTTTATTGAAAAAAACGACAATAATAATCTTGCATGGGTCCCAGCCAAACCAGCCTGAATCCATACATGAGACCCACCCATGCATGCTGATGTGACTGTGAGAAAGATTATTAAAAGCCCAAGTACATAGAATGAAAGCACAATAGTTACTCTTTTTAAATCATACAAATGGTTTTATTGTGTCCAGACACTTTGTAACAACCTCTGCTAGCAACATAGATTCTTCAGTGAACCGATTTCATTCTGCCTCGTTGGCGCTCAAATGAACCAATGGCAGCTCAACAAATAGAATGGCGGCGGTATTTGAAAATGGTTTGGCCCACAACGCTGCGTTTGAAATCGGTCTGCACTAAAATCTGCTTATTGTGTGTAGCTGTGTGTGTTAGCAATATCAGAAAAGTATCACCCTAAAGAAAAGCAAAAATAACAATAACAATTAAGTCTCTTTTGGGATACTGTCGTCCGATTTGTTACGAGCAACAATTTTTTTAACAAGCGATTTAAAATCTCTCCCTAAAATTTGGTACTAGGTAAAACAGAAGAAATGTACTTACAGATTCTTTCGTAGATCAGCCAACAGGCAGACTCCGCGCCAACGGACTGATGAAGAGAACAGGCTTGATTTTGAAACCGCATATCCATCCGCGGGTCATTTTACGTTTTCCAAGAAACACAAGATTAATTTTTGAGAGTGCTACATCGGTTTAACAAATGTAAAACCGATGTAGCAAAAGTTCTCAATGTAAATAAATACATTTCGTTGTCCTCCTTATTCAAATATGTTTTGGAACTATTTTCTTCAGTGGATGTGTAAAGTGCCTACCGGTACTTCAATTCACCAACCTTTATTGGCAACGGTGCCTCAGAGCAAACAATGAACAAAAAGGTAATTGGAACCAAATGAATCATTAACAGAAATGTTACGTTTTTTTATTTTTTATTTTTATTTATACTGATGACTTGGAAAATGTTTGCAAATATATGAAAAAACAGATGCTCAAAATTTTACTCTTGTCTCTCACTTGCTAATGAGTTTTGTTTATTTTCTAAACATTTTGTGATATTTTTCACAATGGTCTGATCTGAACTATTTGTCCAAATAAAAATTTAAATCTTGCTGCGAACAGGCTGCAGTAAACTCTATGGATGTCTAAACATCCAATTGATAAAAAATAATAATAAAAATAAAATAAAAAGTTATTATTATTAAAAATAAAACAAGGACTAAAGCTCAACCATGACCACTCTGTGCTTAATTTTGAGTAAGCACCAGAATATGAGTTTACGTATATATTTCAAACAGATTATTTCAAAAAAATGTTTTAAGACATTCAGACTGCAATAATAAAATGAAAAAAAAGTTAGGGGTTCAAAGTGTAGCAAGAGCAATACTGAACTGGCTTTTGCTTTGACATACAGTGAAAAGTTTGAAAGTGACAGGGTAACCACATTGTCGATTAAAATGTTCTACAATTTTGTCCCATTTAGACCATGAAAAAAAGTACTAGGGGCTACATTTTCCTGCCCAGGTCCAACCCATGTATGGTTAGCCCATGCTCATGTCATGTTAGTTTAATGTGGACAGCCCACATTGGGCTTCTCATGTGGGGCCCATGATACTGAAACCACATGGGCCCCAAATAGTGTTGCCCATTTCTGTCCCATTTCCAGTTAGCCCACATTGTTGCTGAATAGGGCCCATACATTTAGCCCAAATGGGCCAGCCCATAGGGGTCCCATTTTAGTTAACCATATGTGTCCCATGAGGTTTGCCCAGATAAAACCCATGACCACTCATTACCCATATGGCCTACTACAAACCCAAGGGGGACCCACTCATGCGTACTGGCTTGGAGACTGGACTGGACTGTTCTAGCATAAAATAATAACATGAAAAAATGTTAAGGGTTCAAAGTGTGGCTAGAGCAATACTGAACTGGTTTAAAAAAATAAAGCATTGTAGAATTATTTTTAATGTTTTAATATCCTGGTCCTCTGGAAGCCTATTGTTTGTAAATGAGCCAGGCATAGATATCACACAGTGAACATGTTTTAGGTTCAAACATTAGGAAGACATGGATGTTCTGTTCTATCAGCAAAATATATCCTTGGGTGATCTCCAAGACGAGGTCACCTTCGTCCTGGAGACCTCGACAATGGTCAAGGTCACCAACCTTTACTATCGTCGAGGTTTCCTACAAGGAAAAAATTAAATTCTACAATTTACCTTACATCAACTCCATTAGAGGCCAGCTGAGTAACAATTGCCTTGGCAAAGACTATAAAGCTGACATCTCGGGTAATTCTTTCCAAGTTTTGAGAATCTTGCTCTTGCAGCTTTTGCTTTGACATACAGTCAAAATTTTGAAAGTGACAGGTTAACTACAGGGGTTGGACAATGAAACTGAAAACCTGGTTTTAGACCACAATAACTTATTAGCGTGGTGTAGGGCCTCCTTTTGAGGCCAATACAGCATCAATTCGTCTTGGACAAGTATGGGGCCAAGGGAATGCCATGATATGGCAGCCCACACCATCAATGATCCACCCCCATGCTTCACTCTGGCATACAACACTCTGGCTGGAATGCATCTTTGGGGCTTCTCCACACCGTAACTCTCCCGGATGTGGGGAAAACAGTAAAGGTAGACTCATCAGAGAACAATACATGTTTCACATTGTCCACAGCACAAGATTTTCGCTCCTTGCACCATTGAAACCGACGTTTGGCATTGATACGAGTGACCAAAAGTTTGGCTATAGCAGCCCGGCTGTGTATATTGACCATGTGGAGCTCCCGACGGACAGTTTTGGTGGAAACAGGAGAGTTGAGGTGCACATTTAATTCTACCGTGATTTGGGCACCGTGGTTTTATGTTTTTGGGATACAATCCAGGTTAGCACCCAAACATCTCTTTAAGACAGCTTCATCTTGCATCCACAGTTAATCCTGTTAGATGTGGTTTGTCATTCTTGGTGGTATGCTGACATTACCCTGGATACTGTGGCTCTTGATAATCACAAAGACTTGCTGTCTTGGTGAACAATTTGCCCTCTTTTGAACTCCAGTATGTCCCAAATAATTAAGTGCATTGCAATATTTTGAGCAAAACTGTGCTCTTACCCTGCTAATTGGACCTTCACACTCTGCTCTTACTGTTGCAATGTGCAATTCATGAAGATTGGCCACCAGGCTAGTCCAATTCAGGCATGAAACCTCCCACACTAAAATGAGAGGTGTTTCAGTTTCATTGTCCAACCCCTGTACATTGTTCTACAATTTTGTCTCATTTAGCCCACTTAAAAAAGGACTGGGGTCTACATATCCACACCCAGGTCCAACCTGGGCGTGGATATGTACTGACCACACTGAACCCACAGTGGGTTCAGTGTGGTCAGCCCACATGGTCTCCCCATGTTGGGCCCATGACATGAGCCCATGCTGATGTCATGTGGGTTCAGTGTGGTCTGCCCACATGGTCTCCCCATGTTGGGCCCATGATACTGAAACCACATGGGCCCCACATAGTTTTGCCCAGTTCTATCCCATTCCCAGTTAGCCCACTTAAAAAAGGACTGGGGCCCACATATCCACACCAGGTCTAACCCATATATGGTCAGCGCATGCTGATGTCATGTGGGTTCAATGTGGTCAGCCCACATGGGCTTCCCATGTTGGGCCCATGATACTAGAACCACATGGGCCCCACATACTGTTGCCCAGTACTATCCCATTCCCAGATAGCCCACTTAAAAAAGGACTGGGGCCCACATATCCACACCCAGGTCTAACCCATATATGGTCAGCCCATGCTGATGTCATGTGGGTTCAAGTGGTCTGCCCACATGGGCTCCCATGTTGGGCCATGATACTGAAACCACAGGCCCCCATATACTGTTGCCCAGTACTATCCCATTCCAGATAGCCCACTTAAAAAAGGACTGGGGCCTACATATCCACACCCAGGTCTAACCCATATATGGTCAGCCCATGCTGATGTCATGTGGGTTCAAATGTGGTCAGCCCACATGGGCTTCCCATGTTGGGCCCATGATACTAGAACCACATGGGCCCATATACTGTTGCCCAGTACTATCCCATTCCCAGATAGCCCACTTAAAAAAGGACTGGGGCCTACATATCCACACCCAGGTCTAACCCATATATGGTCAGCCCATGCTGATGTCATGTGGTTCAGTGTGTCAGCCCACATGGTCTCCCCATGTTGGGCCCATGATTACTGAAACCACATGGGCCCCACATAGTTTTTGCCCAGTTCTATCCATTCCCAGTTAGCCCACTTAAAAAAGGGACTGGGGCCTACATATCCACACCCAGGTCTAACCCATAGATGTCAGCCATGCTGATGTCATGTGGGTTCAATGTGGTCTGCGCACATGGGCTTCCCATGTGGGCCCATGATACTGAAACCACATGGGCCCCATATACTGTTGCCCAGTACTATCCCTTCCCAGATAGCCCACTTAAAAAAGGACTGGGGCCACATATCCACACCAGGTCTAACCATAGATGGTCAGCCCATGCTGATGTCATGTGGGTTCAATGTGGTCTGCCCACATGGGCTTCCCATGTTGGGCCCATGATACTGAAAACCACATGGCCCCCCATATACTGTGCCCAGTACTATCCCATTCCAGATAGCCCACTTAAAAAAGGACTGGGGCCCACATATCCACACCCAGGTCTAACCCATATATGGTCAGCCATGCTGATGTCATGTGGGTTCAATGTGGTCTGCCCACATGGGCTTCCCATGTTGGGCCATGATACTGAAACCACATGGCCCCCATATACTGTTGCCCAGTACTATCCCATTCCCAGATAGCCCACTTAAAAAAAGGACTGGGGCCCACATATCCACACCCAGGTCTAACCCATATATGGTCAGCCCATGCTGATGTCATGTGGGTTCAATGTGGTCAGCCCACATGGGCTTTCCCATGTTGGGCCCATGATACTAGAACCACATGGGCCCCACATACTGTTGCCCAGTACTATCCCATTCCCAGATAGCCCACTTAAAAAAGGACTGGGCCCACATATCCACACCCAGGTCTAACCCATATATGGTCAGCCCATGCTGATGTCTGTGGGTTCAATGTGGTCAGCCCACATGGGCTTCCCATGTTGGGCCCATGATACTAGACCACATGGGCCCCACATACTGTTGCCCAGTACTATCCCATTCCCAGATAGCCCACTTAAAAAAGGACTGGGGCCTACATATCCACACCAGGTCTAACCCATATATGGTCAGCCCATGCTGATGTCATGTGGGTTCAATGTGTCTGCCCACATGGGCTTCCCTGTTGGGCCCATGATACTGAAAACCACATGGCCCCCATATACTGTTGCCCAGTACTATCCCATTCCCAGATAGCCCACTTAAAAAGGACTGGGGCCCACATATCCACACCCAGGTCTAACCCAATATGGTCATCCCATGCTGATGTCATGTGGGTTCAATGTGGTCAGCCCACATGGGCTTCCCATGTTGGGCCCATGATACTAGAACCACATGGGCCCCAATACTGTTGCCCAGTACTATCCCATTCCCAGATAGCCCACTTAAAAAAAGGACTGGGCCACATATCCACACCCAGGTCTAACCCATATATGGTCAGCCACATGCTGATGTCCATGTGGGTTCAATGTGGTCAGCCCACATGGGCTTCCATGTTGGGCCCATGATACTAGAACCACATGGGCCCCACATACTGTTGCCCAGTACTATCCCATTCCCAGATAGCCCACTTAAAAAAGGACTGGGGCCCACATATCCACACCCAGGTCTAACCCATATATGGTCAGCCCATGCTGATGTCATGTGGGTTCAATGTGGTCAGCCCACATGGGCTTCCCATGTTGGGCCCATGATACTGAAACCACATGGGCCCCATATACTGTTGCCAGTTCTATCCCATTCCCAGATAGCCCACTTAAAAAGGACTGGGGCCCACATATCCACCCACCAGGTCTAACCCATATATGGTCAGCCCATGCTGATGTCATGTGGGTTCAATGTGGTCAGCCCACATGGGCTTCCCATGTTGGGCCCATGATACTGAAACCACATGGGCCCATATAGTGTTGCCCAGTACTATCCCATTCCCAGATAGCCCACCTAGTTGCTGAATAGGGCCCAGCATTAGCCCATATGGGCCAGCCCATATGGGTCTCATTTTAGGTTAACCATATGTGTCCCATGCAGTTCGCCCAGATAAAACCCATGCCCACTCATTACCCATGTAGCCCACATCAACACAAGTGGGGCCCACTCATGCGTGCTGGCTGTGATTGTTGTTAAATTTGGTTTCTAAATATTTGACTGTCTGAACTTATTTCACATATATTATGTTTGTATTTCAGTTATACTGATGAGTAATAAAGGGTTCCCTGCTTTGCCACTTTGACCATGCCAGAACCGACACCTGGAGCTGTAGGGATTAGATAAACAGAAGTGAAATCTCAGAGCAGCCTGTTGATAAACTAGTCCTTCCAGAAAGTCTTGTAAATGTTTTTGCTCTTCTTATGTCCTTGACATGAATTGAACTCTGTAAGCCAGATCTGAAACTCTGAAGGAGCTTCTCTAACATGTTTGCGCTCATGTGTCCTTTAACAGTGCTTTTTTTCCACAACAACTATTGACAAAGGAGAAGAACCTTCACAACCATGGGGTGAATTCTCACTGTTCATCTTCAATCAATAGAGAGGCAACTTGTCCTTTTAAATGTTGTATTTTCTGTTTTGTTTAAAGATAACCAAAGCAAAACCAAGCAGTAGACACATGATTCAAGCTGTCAGGTGCCTCTGCGCTGGCATTTTATCTGTCCACACATTACCTTCATTCACTGACGTCTCACGAACAAACCCCAAATTGCAGGAGATTACAAAATTACAAACACCATCTGTCATTTTGGCAGTCATCGTCCCATGTACACACCTGGGAAAAATGTTGAGAATGTTGGAACTTTCAGTTCACGGTTATATGTTGGCTTTTATTATGGTTTTGTAAATGTTGCTTTTCTTGTTGCTTGTAAAAACTAGTCAAACTGGGGGATATACTTACCACTGCTGTAGTCACTGTTACTGAATAGTGGAAAAGTGATAAATGGCAATGCAGGAAGAAAGCACACATCACTGAAATGTGACCAAACTGGCAATTATATATTCAGAATACACAGTACAATTGTTTAATTTCACTATTAGATATTGTATGGTGTTGTACTATCAAAAATTATTAATTCATATATATTAAATACAAAACGTAAATCAAAGATGTAAGAAAGATACAAAAATCCCTTTACTGATATATCAGCTTGCTTGTTAAAACAGCTGTAACTGAAACATTAACTTATTGACTGGCTGAGTTAAATTTGTATCGTTGCAGTTAATATGCAGTTTATTTTGATCAGACATCAAGGCAATGAGAAAGAAAAACAAGAAGATGTGGGAAGTTTTGGGAGGAGATTCAGTTAATTAATTGCATGGGAGTAACTTGGCTTTATGTGTTGTTTATACTGGCTGATGCTCTGTTGATTAAGCTCCCCTGTGAGCAGAGCCGGTATGAGCGAAAACATACTTGAAGGTGGGGTTTCTTGCTGTCTTAAGAAGGATCTCATGAAAATATTTGATAAGGCTCAATTTTCCAAAACATTGTTCTGATATTTGCCTGGAACCCTGACTGGGCTTATTTCTTGATAGTGTTTCTTTGTATGTTGTCTCTGATCTTTTTAACAACACGTACCCCCAAAAGGGACAGATCATTTTTCTGTGAACGACTTACAAAATTTAACTATAGACCGACAATAATACGTTCTTCATTTGAAATAAACAATTTTTTAACAAACTAAATGTTTTTAACCCGTTGGACTTGTGAAAAAAGACTGTAGTGGCTGATGCAGATCCTGCTTTTCCTGTGTAATGTGACCTTATATGGACTGCTGAGTTATCCCCTTTAGACTGGCACAAAAAGTAGCTGAAACAGATTTACAATGTTCAAAAGAACTGCTTCTTTTAAGAGTCTTGTCTTCATACGATTAACTTGTGCTGCACTAAAATAAGTTATACCAGTAAAATGATCAACAAGTCACATGAAAACAAAGCCTACCATGCTGATAAAGTAGAGAAACAAAAGCTAAAGCTATGCCTTTTTTAGACAGAGCACTGTAAGAGCATTATTATTATAACTTTTTGAGAATGAGCTACAGCAAAAAAAATAAAATACCTGTCGTCAGAAAACGCACACTTCAGATTCCTAAACATTGTTGCTGAGTGAGTTAGACACTAAGGAATTTATCAATGAAGTTTCAGATTGTTACTCTTAAAGAATCAGTTTGAGGAATGAAAGACTTAAATACAGATTATTATATAGAAACCATGAGAACAGACAGAAGAGGAGAGAGCCTAAATGACATCTCAGATACACCTGAGTGATCAGTACCCAGTCATCCCAATCGTTGTACTTTTTCATGAAATATTTGTAAAAATGAAATTGTAGAGCATGCATATATTTTATCAGTATTTACATCATCTTCAGCACAGATGTTTAGAGCTTTTTGGATGATTTCTTTTAAAACTATGGGCAGCATCTGCTCTTTTGTCTTTAACTTTTAGATACACAAGGTTTAGCTATTAAGGCACATACAAAGTACACAGAAACCAACACAAGTATAAAATGTATGAATAAAAATACAAGATTTTTCAGATTTATACATTTTTGCATTAGCATACACATTTGCATTGATGGAGGTAGATAGCAAAGATCCAGAGGTATAACAATGTAGGTTTCGCAGTGGTTTCGATGTGCAGCTATGTGGCTTCAAACTTGAAGAGAAGACATGCAAGAATTTCAATGTGATTAATTACTGGGATATACAGTACAGAGGATGAGATGACAAGTGGCAGGATGCAGCTGTTTTCCATGAGTTGTCTATCCAGAAATCAGGACAGAAAGGTCTGGTTTCCCCTACAGGGCTCTTCTCAGCTGGAAGAGGCTCTCTGAGGGCAATCAGAGCCCTACAATCAGATCGGCTCAAACAAAAAGGACAGAGTAAGGAGGACAGCGGCAGCGCTCAGAGGATAGTTCCCGCATCCAGGAACCATGACAACCAGGAGCTGCAGTCCAGAAGGTTCTGGGAAAGAAAAACAACAAGAGGATCAATAATTACTGTATAAAAATGCAGAATGAATTTGTTTTACTGTATCTACCTTATGTAAAAAATAATAAAAAAAATTAAATTCCAGTTGTCTTTATACCTAATGCCTTCCATGCCGTCTCCTGCGCAGCGATCAGATTTTGACATGGCATCATTTTGACACTCTGCACAGACCAGCCGCTCTTGCACCAGCTGAGCACTCCACAGCTTGAGCTTGCATGCAGCACTGGCCTGCTTCACCCTGAGGTACACACAGTAACTGCAGGAGGACGCACAAAAAGGGAGTGAAAGGAAAAATTATTCAGAAAACCTGATTTTATACAGCATCCAAAAGCACAAAAGTACAGAGAAATAAATACTAATCATTTGGAAACCTGTATATGTTTCTCTGAGAACTAAGGATGTTTTTTGGGGGTTTTTTGCTCAGCTCTGCAGCAAAGAGTCAGCCATCCAGCATGTTGTTCTTTGTTTGGATGTCAAAGGAGCTTCTCCAACACAAAAGACAAATGGGAAAAATAACCAAATGGAGATGTTGGGACACATTTATGCTTTAAAAAATTGTAACAAGGTCTTCCTTCTCCAAAACAATTCACTTTATATTAGTAAATACTGATGCATTTACTAAATATAAATGCATCAGTATCCGATTTGTTTCTTTTGAAGGAGAGTCATGGTCACCTGCTCAAACCTAATGTCAACATGGCTCAGACTGCAGACTGGAAACAATTAAAGTTTTTTTTCTCCTCTAATAGCTGTGCTCTTCGAATACTCTTTGAACTCCGCTCTACTATTTATGTTGTCTGTGACTCGCGCAGCTTTGACTAAACACAAGTGTCAGCGGGAGGATTCTTCAATGAAAACATGAGACTTTAGTTTCTCTATTCCCCAGATTTCACTATGACATTTCAGCAGGCACTGCTTTAATTTTCTTTACAGCTAAGTGGAAGAAAAGTAATATGTTGTCTATTTTACAAATAAAAATTTCAGTAAATATGCTGTGTTTGTATTAATGTGAGAGAAAGGGTAAGGAGAGAAATAATCAGATTCGTCAAAAGACCAAATGTAACTCTGGAAGTGCTGCAAACATCCACAGTTCAAGTGGTAAAATTTCTTTAAGGGATTATTTGTGCTTTCCACAAAACAAGTGTGAATGCTCTAATGCAAACAAAATAAATTTTTGGACCCAGTATTTAATAGATTAGAAAATTATTAAAAAGTTTTATTCTGTGACTTAATACACATTGAGTAAATAATTTGCATACAGCAAAGCTGTTATTTCTGCAAATCATCCTTCTATAGCTAAAAAACAACTCAACACTAAATTTCTTTAAGAATAGAATATTCTTCAAGAAATAATTTCAGTTGCTGTAAACCTGTTAATACCACAATAGCACACATGTTCATGCTATGTCTCAGACTCCAAAATGTCAGGCAGAGTTTTAAGAAATTTGAGGCCACGCAGATTAATTTCATGTCTCTTAGGTCAATTTCCATGACAACAGCGGTAATACACCAGATGTCTGTTTGAAGTCAAATGTACTCAGCTTCATTTATGAGGACTCAGAGTTCCCTGGTGCTTTCTATTTCAGCCAAAACAAAGATATCTCATGTCCATTTTAATCAGGCTTAATGGCTCTGAGGAGACAGGAAACGAGTCACGACTTTGTTCTCTTGATTTTTAGCAGTTCAAATAACACTGTAATCAGCTCTGATCAAAAATGACACAGATGCAGTGAGGGGTTTTGATATGGATTGAATAACTTTATCAGTAAAGGTCAGCCCATGATACATATTCAGTCCTGGAGTGCATGTTACACGGCCAAAGCACAAGGAAACATTGGCCTTGGTCCGTGTTTTCTAATCTTCATGCAAAACTGATTTTAGAGTGACCTTTGAACTGACGTCAAAACTGATACGAACCAAGACAAAAATGCTGTAGCTTTGAAGAATCATTTTCCATAACAGAATGAGCTGGAGGCAAAAGTTCACTTGAAAAATGCAGGACATTTTCCACCAAGTTTTGGAAATCAGAATAAAAATTCAGTGTAAATCCATCCATCCAGTGTCAATGTACACTTGCAGCGTTCCAAGCAACTCTCTATCTTTGGTGAAAGGCGGGGCACAATTTGTAGTGCTAGCCACTACAAATCACAGGAAAACACAGAGGCACAAAGGACACACAAACATGCATCCATGCACATATGCAAGCACGACTGACAGACTTAAGGCCTGTCTCCTGGCTCTGATTGGTTGTTTGTAGTTAGCGCTGCAAGAACTGGGAGAAGGCAGAGGAGTTAAATGTTTTTTCACAGTTTATCTGTCTCTCATTGTATCACCATGACATAGTGAAACACATATGTTAAGAAAATGTGTTACATACTGCAGCTTTAAGAGGCTAACCAACAATTAACATAACAAACATGATTCAGGACTCAGGGAAGCCAAAGTACCCTGAACAGAAATCAAACTGGGGAAAACCTGCAGAATTCTTTCAAATTTAACAAAGAAAGATTATTTTTATTTAAATGGAAAAATACAATGAGGTTGTGATATCAGAAAGTTTAGTCTGTGACTCCTTAAAAAGTCTTTACAGCTTGATTGTAAGTGTATGCACTCATTAGTGAGGTTGGTTGTTTATGATTCAAGAGGCAGACACCCAGCTGTAAACTGTTATGTAGATCTATTTAAACATATTGAGCTTGCAGAATGACATATTTGTGATTTCCAAAAAGAATTTTAATGGATTTTTGTCATCTAAAAATAAGTCAACACATTTAAACAAACCTCCAGGGGCAGATGTCACATTTTGTGTGGTTTAATTTTCCTATAAGAAGAAGCTGAAAACCCTTCAGCTTCAACATTTTTTTTTGTTGCTGTTGTTTGTAATAACACAGAAAACATGCAGTATTTATTGTAGTGTGGTGTGGCATTACCTGTCCTTCTCCTCCTTCATCAGCATGTGAGGTCTCCTCCAAGGGTCCTTGAAGTTCCTCTTGAAAGAATCAGGCAGGATCTTTGCCACCTCTAAAGTTTAGTGGTGGAGATACAGGCAAAAAACAAGTCACAGTTCAAATACAAGAAAAGATAGATAAAATCCTAACCTTTTAGCAATTTCTTATTTTGTGAAACTCAAAATATGTCTACACATAGAGAGCATGTTCTCATAACTTTCATGTTTGAAAAATGGCCAAGGGAAAGCAGTATATGTGACATGTCATATTTACACCTCTCCTTGCTGGTGTATTGCGTTAGATTATACTCCTGCAATTAAAGTTGAATTTTTTTTTTCTACTTTGACTTTTTGTATGTCCTTACCAGCTGTATAGTGTATCTCAATCTGCTGCTTGACCGATTGCTGAAGCTGTTTAGATGAGTCAGAGTGACACAGACCAATGTTTTACTCTTGTTTTCTGAAGAAATGTTCCCTTTGCATCAGAATTATCAGTGTCCTGGTATCTTCCAGTCTGGAAAACCTCTTAATAATGAAGTCTGTGACTGAGGTGATGAAATATTCCAGCTGGATGTTGGCTGTCACAACAGATGTTTGGAAATGTGTTGTTTGCAGTGCAACTCCTAACAAGACCTCTTTTGGATAAAACTGAAATCAAATTGATATGTAACAGACTCCAGACAAGGAGCTCTCACATGCACAAATGTAGATCAAAAGCAGTCACACGGAGGTTGTACCTTTGGCATTGTTACATATGACGTTGTTTCCGTAACACCCTCGTCTCTGTCTGAGATCTGGACAAGGGGTTCCTCCATTTCTCGGGGGAGTGGACACTTGGCGACTCCTCTCCTTGCTGCCGACTCCACACGGAGAGGAGCATGACGACCAGGGACCCCATGATCCAACCGCACAGTCGATAGCTGCTGAGGGGTGCACGAAATCATAGATATTTCACAAAATAACTTTGGAAAGCTTCAAAATATCCTCAGTGAGGAGAGGTAAGCTGAAGTTAGCAACAGAAGGGTTCAACATGACTTAGTTTGATAAAGTAAACAAATCTGGCGAGACTGCAGCACATTTGTCTGTCTGTTTATCTACATATCTAGATAATTGTTAATGTTGCTTTTTTTGTTTGGTTGTTTAAGCTTTAATGTAAAACTCCTTGGCTACCAGATAAAGAAAGCAGTTTTTAAATATTATTGATAGATATGCTATTTTTAAGCAGTTCTATAAATGTTATTCAAATTTACAGAGGCTAAGATTTGTTCCCATTTTGTCATTTTACAAACACCAAATTCAATTTATTTTCTTGGAGGTTGAGGTGGAGGTTCACCTTCCAGCAGAAAGACAAAACTAAACTTACAGAACCAAACAAAACTGAAATTCTGAAAGAAGCTTTAAAATTGCTATTTGTGTGCATTTTCCAGTGCAATCTGGCTAATTGCACTGCAAGTTTGTCAGTCTTGTTAGAAAACCAACCCAAAGGACAGGAACTGATCCAAAGGCCCTGAAATAAAACATTCAACATTTTCTGGGAGTTAAAGATATTCTCCTAATCTTTGCATTCATGTCAAAGTGTCTGTTTGTTAGTATTAGCTGACACAAACAGGTAGGCAGGTGGCATTGGGTAGCTGTTATTAAAAGTGATTTATGTAGGATCAGCTACATCCCAGACACAGGAAGTCTGCAGCCCAGGTCATATATGTGGTGGCTTTAGATAGGGGCTAATTGGCATCCTGTCCCTTCTAGTTTTGCCGTTTAAACCCACACCCGCAAGGGAAACATAGCATGTAAACAGCACCGGCAATTAGACTTCCTGCTCAGGAGGCTGATTTGGCCAATTACGACAAGCTAAGGGGAAGTTGTATTCCTGAGATTGCTGTTCTGATCAAAGCCAAAAAAAACAAAAAACAATAATCAAGCCTTGTTAAGTTACCAGATGTAATGGTTGTGGGCATTCAAGGACCTTGTTTTGAGGAGAAACCACAAACATCATAAACAAGGCAATAAGAGGCAATCAGGACCTAAAAGAAAACATCAAAATCTGAACAAACACAGTTACACCAGAATATTATTTTCATTCACTTTACTTCCATTTCCAGGATGAGAACACGAGAACAGAAGGAGAACAGGTGCACATAGCATGATACTCTGAGAACCTTGGTGAAATGACAGAGAAGGAGTGGATAAATATACCATAACTGAATCTAATCTCCCCCGCCACATAAAGGGTTCCACTCTTTCTTCATAAAACTCATCCAACCATCAGTACAATACTGTGATTGAATAATGGTGTGTGCGTTTGCGTGTGTGGGAGGAAAAAGGGGCTTTTAAGGTGCCGCCTGTTTGGCTCATTCCCAAGCCAAATTTTGAGAGGAGAGAGGGCGGCGCGGTGACACGGCGGATCCACAAAGCCACTGTGGAATCCGTGAATTCCTGAACATTAGTGCTTCCAACCTGACACTTTACTTTCCCACAAAACAATGTGCAAACAGTATCTCGCCAAAGTATTAACATGCTTGAACTTTTTTTTACTATTTTTTTCAGTTGCAATCACAAAAAATGTTATTTTAATTACATGTAACAAACCAAGAAAAAGTGGGGCACGATTAGAACATTAAAAGCAAAGAATACACGCATCCACCCATCCATGCATTCATTGTCTACACCTGGTGTAGACAATGACTGCTGTGCCCAGCCACAGCAGTCAATGGATGGAGGAAGTATACACCAGGTACAGGTCAACAGTCCATCACAGGACAATACCCAGAGCCTTCTTGCTGCAAGGCAGCAGTGCTAATAACTGTAATTCAGTGGCATGGACACTGCAATACATTTTAGTTTATGCATTAAATTAGCATAAGAGTAGCAATACTCTTTCCAATACTCCTATTATTTCTGATTATTTCACTTGTAGCTAATACTTTTTCATTAACATTAAGGAATTATTGGCTAAAAACAAGCTCATACTGAAAAGTTACTTATAAATAAGTGGAGACTTATTTCAAGTGCACTAAGATATTTGTGTTTTTGTAGTATATTAAAACAAGTGGTTTCTTGCAAAAGATCCCAATAAGATACATCGAAGTTTGCTTTTGCAATGTGATATGAATAGTTTTCAAACATACCATTTACATACAAATAAACATAAACCTACATGCAAATGATTGGGGAATTTCCACTTTGGTTCATCTTGATATAAAGCACACACAGAAACTTTCTCTTGAGAAGAATTTCAAAGATAAACTGGTGAAAAGCATAATAACTTTCTACTTATGCCTTCTGCGCCTGTTCTTATCCTAACATGCCTTTCCTTCCACTTGCACAGAGCAGTTTTTATGTTGTTATTTTTTGCCTTTTTTTAGTAGCATAAACACAAACAAGAAGGACACTTGAGGTTTTGCCCAGTGAAATCAGTTCTGTTTAAACACCCATAACTATTTTTACCCCACTCATCAAACACACTCATGCGAACAGGAATAAGGTTTTGTCTGGAAGCATGAACCTGTAGGCCCCAAGCCACCAGAGGTCAGGAGGAAGTTACCAGACTGTGGTGGGCCCCCACTCTGTTTCTGGTGCCACCCACATGCTAACCCTGACAGTCTGGATCACACAGTCACCATTGTGCCCTGTTTGCATTGTGGAGGAGAAAGTCCCATTTGGACAGCCTCTCACCAACTCTGACCTCTGACCCCAATACAGGAAACAAATGGTGTTTGTTGTGCTATTTACTTTGGAAAATTCAGCTTTCCTCTTTAATATAAGTTTTATGCTAGAATCACTTTTTGAGCATTATTAAATGTTTTGAGAGAAATTAGATCCTGATATTGAAGCCAGTGAAAGAAAAAACATCATTGCTGCATGAAATATGTTCTAATCATTTATTTTCTTCAATTATGGAAAATTTCTTTTCACTGCATAAACAATCTTACCATGTATTTTTGCTCTAATTTGACAGATACCATATTTTGGTCAAATATCTTAGTACACCTGAAATAAGACAAACTAACATACAACTTTTCAGCAAGACATAGAGACATGTTTTAAGTAAATAATTTCTTAATATTGATCAAATAAAAGTCATTGTTCCATTGGCAGATAAATTAACTTATGGAGAAAATATAAGTTAAATAATCTGACAAAGGAACAAAGTTTTTTTTTCATCAATACCCTTGAGTAATTAAGTTTGTCTTATTTACTCAAGACAAGCTCCTATAACTTCCTGAAAAGTTACTTGTAAGTTTGTTTTGTTTAATTTCATGTGTTCTAAGATATTTGCTCTAGAAACTAGACCAAAAATATTTGGTAAGAGTTTTTGGTCTTGCAATGTTTTGTTTTGTTTACTGTTTATGATAAGTTAGTATTATGTGATGGCTTTAAGATGAAAGTAAGTGATCCTTTTTTATTTATTTTGTAGTATTTCAGCACAAAATTGTTCCTCATTGTTAAATCGGCCAAGGAGCTCAAACAATTTGCCAAGATTTTAAATTTATTTGTAGAATTTGTCATGAGTGTGAATCACCTCCATGCTTTTTCTTTTACTCTGATAAAAGTATGTTTTAATAACATAAAAAAATCAATTAGCTGTATCTGTTTTGTCTTCCACTAGCCCTTTTTCTGATCCATCTGTTGCCTTTTTTTTTTTTTGGTTCCTTTTTGCTTCCCCTTTAACCCCCCTTGGTTTCCTGATGGGATGCAGATGTCCAGCTGGTGTCTGAAAGGCCACTTTGGCTCAAAACCACCACACTGTCTCCTTCCCAATAAAGTTAGTCCCTTTGGGCCAAGGTCTGACCACTGTTAACATTTAGGACCATCAACATAGGAAACACAATGAAACCACAAGTCTGGTGAAACCTTTGAAGGGGATGAATTTTTCTAATAACAGCATAAACAGGAATAGCAAACAAACCAACCACTAAACAAGGATTAATTAAAACTCTATGCACTTTTCCCCAGATATCCATTGAACCCTGAAGAATTAGTTATTCTAAGGGTATGACTGCAACACCGTCATCATTCAGAAAAAGTATTTGTATTTAGAGACTGTTATGCTTTAACAATGAAGTACTTGATGTCACTATAGTTGTCTCTGCTTTGAATTCATTACTTTAGGTTTGAGGCAATTGGGCAAGTTTAGAAAGTGTTGAAATTTTAAGTTTTATCATCTGACAACATACAAAACAAACTTTTAAAACCATAATCTGACCTACATGAGAATATTCAGATGAAGTGAACGTAATACTTTAAGAATATATGAAGAGTAAATACGACCTGGGAAATTATAAGGAGATCATCAAGTGTTGACATGGATGTGAACCAAATGTGATTGTGATTTGCCAAAATTAGTGGAAAATTTTAACTTCATGGTGAATCTCAATTGAAATGTAATTGATATGCGAATTTGTATTTGTTCATGCCAATAGACAATAGTTTCAAAATTATTTCAATATCATTTCAAATAAATCACCATGCTCTTTTGTTTTCGGTTTGCTTTCTTTCTGTGGTTTACATTTTTTCCCAGTGAACCTTTTATTTGTTTTCAGTCATGAAGCAGATGTTGGACATCAACTTTGCAATCAGGAAAGTAAATGAAGAGAAATGCCACAGCAGCTGTGGCATTTCATGTGGACGGGAGAATGAACAGGAAACAAGGTAAAGGAGGAGTGAAAGTAAATGGAAATAGGACGAAGAGATCTTGGCATAACAAAAATACCCAAGTGAAATGTAAAAGAAGCCAGACATCTGCAGCAGAAGGAGGCATGTGAGGTGAAGAACCTGTCTTGTTGTCAGAGTGAATACAACCAGACCGCTGGAGTAGAAAGGAGCCTCCTCCTCCAGATTTCTGAGGATCTGCATGATCTTTACAGTCTGTGCAGTAAAGATGAGCAATTATTTTGACTGAAAACATGCTGTGAACATGAAATTTATGACAGAACTCCTTCAAGGAGCTTTGTGTGTCAAGGGCAGATTCTCATCCAATTAAAACAGAAAAGAGACAACCTAAACAAGAACTTTCAGCTTCTGCTTCTTTAATTTTTCCTTGGAATAAAGTTAAATTGTATTGAGTTGAGTTAAATTTGACCGAACTAAAAGCAAACCAACAATTCCTCATACTGGTAAAATTCAGTCCTGTCAGCTGAGTCTCCAGGTTATCAGGATCAGCAAAAAGTTGAGTGGTCTTTGTATTGAACAAATCTCAGAACTTCAAATATCACTTTATTAACAGCGGAGGGCAGAGATTGAGTTTTTTTAAGATTAATAAAAAATCTCAATGTGCATAAAAAAAATTAACCCAAAATATCATGAAAGCATGTCGACCTTCAGCCAAATCTCAATTCAGTTTGAATTTCTTTTAAAACTATTTTGGAGGCTTTTCCGCCTCCATAATTGTTTAGCAAGTATTACAATATATACAACTACAAAGCTGAACATGTTTCATTGTGTTTGTCATTTTGTGTGATCCTTTGCTTTACTTTTAGACTTTGTGGTTTGTCTTTGATTGTTTTGGTTTGGCTGGTTTTGTTTCAAGTTCTGTGTTCCTGTTTTATGTTCTGTCTGTGCTGAGTTATGATTTTAGTTGATCTTGCCTTCTGGCTTGATTAGACACTTCCTCTGGTTCAGGATTTGAAACAGTTTGAAATCATATTTCTTTCAGGATGCATACAGGCTGGATGCCAGTTGTTTCTTGCTTTTGTGGTTCTTTAAACACTGTTTCTGCTGTGATGCTTTGAATTTTCTTTTAAAACTGTGTATTTTCTGTGATCTGTCTCAACTTTTAACATCTTCCATTACACAATTTCTCCTTTCCATCACTGTATATTTTCTTTTATACAATTACAAACAGATCCACTTATAAAAGTATTTTTTCTGGCAGTACAAACAAAAAAATGAAATACAGCTCTGAGAAACATTAATAATCCACTTCACTGAATCCCATTGAAAACTTAATGGTTAGTCCATCAAATATTGATTTCTGAACTCTTCTTGCGTTAAAATATTAGTATTATTGTTTCTAAATGAATATGAACTTGCTTTCTTTGCTTTGTTTAAGGTCTGAAAGCATTGCATCTTTTTTGTTATTTTGACAATTTCTTATGTTCTCCTAATACAAAATTTTTGCTTGAAATTTCAGAGACATGTTGTCAGTAGTTCATAGAGTAAAAGAAAAATTTTCATTTTTCTTAAAAAGTCAAATCAGATAAACTGATCATTTAAAGTAGTCTCTTATTTTTTCCAGAGCTGTATTTGTTGCTTCCTGCCATCAGTAGAAAGAATGAATATTTTCAGATTTTAAAATATGTGTACCTTATACTAAATATTCTGTTTACATACTAGAACTTTCCAGGATGTCCCTGACATTGTTTGGACGCAGCATGCTTCCCCGAAAGATTTCATTTCAACACCCTCCCTGGAGAAAAATGCCACCGCTTTGAAAATCGTTAAGTGTTTGTGTTGTAGTCGTGATAAGCAGTGTTTTAGTCTTCTGGTGTCACCTCCTCTGCAGTCTTTCAACTGCTGCAGCTGACCCAGGTTAATTACAGACTTTGTTCACCTGCTGCTGGATCAGAATCAGATAAGGTGTCTAGTATCAGGATACCACAGCACTTTGATGAACCCATATGCCGCCATGTGCAGCGAAATGACTATGATTGTAGACAATGTTTCTAAGCATCAGAGGATGCTCACTGAGGCGCATATGCTCTAATGGTCTTTAGTAGTACAGGAAAATTGTACCTTGTGGAAACCAAATTCAGTCTGCTAAGACAAACCGCTTTGCAGTTCCTGCATCTCTCCAGACATAGCTGTCAGAGATCCTCAGAGGAAAAAAACACTGTGAAGTATGTGATCCATCTGCTGCACGTGGGAGTTTTGACCTCTGAGGAAACAAACCTTCCAGACAGACTGGTAATGTCAACACTGACCTGAAGTGCTTCACTGAGCTTACTCCTGTAATTTTCATGTTTGGGAAATACATGTGACTGATTAAGAGATGCCTGAAACCCCCTCAGGTGGCTTCCTCTTTTACTGACATGCCTGGAGTGTAAAGTTTTATTTACAGTTATTTAAAAGGGAAGTGTTATTAGTTTTGCCAAGTCACAAGTATATTGTGAACGTCTGACTCATAAAATTTAAATAAGACATTTATCTGTTGTTGTGATGTAGAAGAGTATGATAAAGCTCAAAGAGTAAGAATATATTCAAAAGGCATTCCTGAATATTATCTTTTAGACAAAAATCTTTCTCTCAGGGGTTTTGATGAGTGATCTTTTGGCTTACTGAAGGTCACTGGCTGAAGTCAAAATAAGACAGTTTACACCACAGAAAAGAGTCTGAACTCTACCAGCAATTATGCTTTGATAAGAGGTTCTCTGCAGCACTTTATGAGCTCCTGTGACCCTGCAGATGCTCGTTTTGTGCACTTAAGTCGGTGTTCACATTCACCCCGTATGGTCATTTTAACACACAGGTTAAGTTGTAACAGAAAGTTACAACTCTCTGTCTCCTGATTGTCACACTGCAGACTAAACTCCACTGCAATCCTCTCCATCTTTGGCAGTCTCTTCCTAAGACATCCATTCCTTCATCTGTCCATATATAGCAGCAGTCAAGATGATTGGGTGGAAAGAAGTGAACCAACCATTTGTTTAACTTGTGTCTTTCTTATGATTGTTCGCCCCACTTTGCACATGTAGCTGTGTAATTTCGAGCTTTAATGAGAAGGTTAAGGGTCAAAACTGCAAACCTAAAGGCAACTTCATTTTCAAACACACACAGCAAAGACTAAATTTACCTCCCAAACTTTCAACACAAGAGATTACTGCTGGTCTTTCAGCTACAACAGACTAGAGGCAGTTATGTGCATTATGTCTCACAGTCTTACTGCCACCTCACTGACAGCCACCTTTGTCCATATGGACAAAGGTATGGACAAAGGTAGTTGTATGTAGAGCACAAAAGAAAAACATGTTTTATTTTTTGAAATAAAATCACCTGAGGCATACAGGTACAAGATATTGATTGGCCAAACTTCAACTAAATTATTCTATACTGATAAGGTCATGTAATCTATATTCAATTCAAACATATATTCTGAAGAGGCTCACATTCTGAAAACTGATAACCTTTAAGCATGTATTGATTATATGATTCATTCTGACTACATTTCTGTATTAAAATGTAACTTTTTTTCTGATAGAAAATTCTCATCAACTGTAAGTAGAAAAGCATTAAGAGGAATAAAAGCTTTCATACATCTGTCTGTGTGTAATGTATTTATTTAACGTGATTCATTTAGTAATAAAGTTCCTGAAATTAATAATATTCTACATTTGTTTTTGCATATGGCTATTCATAGATATTTCTGTATTTACTCTTTTTCATTTGTATTCAGTAAAACATTAATCACTCTTTTTTTTAGTTCCTATTATTAGAGATAAGTCACATGAGATGTTGTAGGAGTGGGGGGCACAAGGTAAGTACTCGCCCAGGGCGCTATTAATGCTAAAACCGCCACTGAAAGAAACATTTAAAAGTTTTGAAGGGTGTTGCATGTTTTCTTATTTTCAGGAGTCATTTGGGGGGAAATGACCAGGAAAAACTCACCAGATATTTGGCACACGTGTTGGTAGTCTTCGCAGCAGTCTCTGGTTTTTTGACAGTAGCTGTCGCAGTAGCACACCGTTTTTCTCCTCGTGTACTCAAAACATTCGTTGTCTCGGCTGGGGCAGCAGTTCTGGTTCCCCCTCTCCCTGCAGCCGGCTTCAGTGACCGGGACGAACTCAGTGCAGAAAAACGCCAAGTATCCACAAACTGCGATCCCCATACGCACCGCGCTCCATCCGTGCGCTCCCATGACAGATGCTGTTCCAGGTCCACCTGCTCTGCGCTCGCACTCAAAAAAGTTTTACTCTGACAGATGTTTCACTTATGTTGTTAGCTTTCAGATAAAAACAAAGTAAAACACAGTCCACCAACATGCAATCAAGTGTTGCGTAAAGCTGGATATCTGTGCGCAATAAACTCTCCTGTTTGTCTGACTTACACCGCCCCTTTAGACTCAAAAATAGGTGAAGAATGATGCCAGCCTACAGTCAGGGTCCCTTCCGTCTTACTCGCTCAGTTGCATTTTATTAGGACGGATTGACAGGGTCCCCCCAATAGTGAAATAATAATTTAACTTTACAAAAATAAATGCGAAAGCTCAAACCGAGGGAAAAATTGTTGCACTGCGCCGATCAACATTAGATTCAAATGATAAAATTCAGCACCACGGACAGAGGAATCAATATTTTGATAAGAAATAATCGAGTAAACAAAAGAAAAGAAAGAGAAAGCGTGAAGTCCCGATACTCTCCGACTAAATCATTTCTACTCAATCCGGGGAAATGACAGCAAGTACCCAATGAGAGAAAGGCTGAGGGAACAATGGCGTTAGTTCTGCTCCACTGCTTTTCAGTGAAAGAAGGAGGTCAGAACACGAGTTATAGATCACGGTGAAGCTGCAGACATTTCTTAGAAAAACCTTGACATTATGCTTCTCATTGAATTTTAAACACAAACATCTGGTTAAAAATAACATCTGGATTATATACATCAATATAGAAGTAACGCTTTCTTGTATATATATTTTTTTCTCAGACTGTAAACAGGAAAGTAGTGAGGATGATTTAAAAAATAACCCCTGTAATTAAACTCTTTTTAAGTTGTGTTTCTTTAATTTTATTTATTTGTTTGTTTTGCCTATTTTTACCTGCCAGCAGGTGTTGCATTTTTATTATTATTATTATTGTAGTGCAGATAATAAATGGGTTTGGGGGGGAAGGGATTGTGGTAATTTGGCAGTGCAGCCTCCAGGATCTTAAACGAGCTAAGGAAGAGAGAGTGATGATGATGATGATGATGATGATGATGATGATGATGATGATGATGATGATGATGATGATGATGATGATGATGATGATGATGATGATGATGATGATGATGATAAAATAAAGCCAGATTTCTTCATATGAAGACTGAGTGCATTACCAGCGAGGTATGATTGTGTGTGCAGTTGTGTTTGGGAATTCAGAGGTGTATTTGAGCTACAGCACCCTCTAGTGTGTTGGATTAATTTTGCAGCTTTCTATCTGAACTCGCTTAGCCTTCAGATTTACCAGTTAATTAAATCCTTTTCTTAAGGCCATTAAGCCAGGATATGTTTTTTATAAAAATTTAAAAAAAAATCATAGAGTACCAGTTTGAAAGATTACAAGAAGCTGCAAATGCTTGGAAGACTCTTAATCTTACTGCCTAATCTAATGTTCTATTGTTTTTCTAATTTTCAAGACTGACTAAAAAAAAATGGGTCTCTATGTCACACTACATCTACATGCCAGGGAAATATAAATAATAATTCCAGACCAGAATGTTTTATTAATCAGATTTTAACAGTAAAACATCAATCAAATAAACACTTCAGTTTCAATTTAATGAAAGGTTGCATTATTTAAAAAAAAATGTAATATGAGATTATACATTCATATATTCTGAGACAAACAATAAACAATTTGATGATTATCTTCATATCTTTTCCTGTGTTGCCATAATTCAGATGGTTTAGGCGCTGTAACTACTGCAGGTTCCAGTATTACAATTATTTTTTTTTAAAATGACTGGATTGGGATAATTCAGGTAATTCACAGTGAAACCCAACAGGTAAAATAATCTCATAAACATCTTAACAGCATTTGATAACAGAAATGCATGACACATTTAACACATTTGGCACTCTTTAACAGCAAATGATCTTGATTAAAGTCAACATTCAGCTCCTTATAAATACATTTACTTTTAATATTCAAACAAAAAGATCAACTTTAATATTTTATCTGAAATTATTTGAGTCATATATTTTTTTTACTCTAAATAAACCATTTGATTTTTGGCACATATTTAATATATAGTAAAGTATGCAGAGATACTTTTAAAAACATATTTTATGCTATACTGTATAAAAAATAACTAACATACTCCAAGTGTAAAATTACATTAATTAAAGGCCTATCTGTGTGTGTGCATGTGTTTGTGTGTGTGTGAGCGTATGCATGTGTGTTTATGCATGTAAACTTCAACCAACTGCAGAAGAGACAGAAACTTCAATAACACCTAAATTGTTGTTGTAAACATCATTAAAATAAATTTGGACAGACAGATTATGATTGGATTATGACAAAAATTAAGCAAATGCATTAAAAATGTTGTCAAAAATAAATCTTAAACCCAAAAACAAGGTTTTTCACAGTGATTTAACTAATTTTGCAATCTTTCTAAGCCATACCAGACTCTTTTTCTTTACTTTATGAGGAAGGAGTCTTGGTGTGAAAAATCTCTGCTTCTCCTCCTACTGTTCAGATGTAAGCCTCCATTCTGGTTTTTCCTTAATCCGGAGCCTCTGTTTATCTGCATTTTGACGTAGAGGTCAGCATATAACACAGATCTACATGCAGCCATTCACTCCAGTCTGTTCACAGCTGGTTTTATGATACAGAGGAGATCTGGCAAACCTCGATCTGTGCCTGCATTTCTGCACAACCAGCAGCTCAGTCTGTTTTCCAGACAGTATTCAGGACCTTCACAACCTCCTCATAGATGATAAACACAATGGCTACATCCAGACACACACGTCCAAGCCGGGGAATGGTCCCTTTGTAAAAGCTGTGGGCAGAAAAAGGCAGAAAGAAGCAAAATTACACTTTTAATCCACTTATATTTATATTCATCTCTGTGGTTTTGTTGATGCTAATATAGAATATTTTGAAAACACACATTTCAGTTTACATCAGAAGTTAAAGTACACTTGAAATAAAGCAAAATTAGCATAGAAGTAACTTCAAAGCTAAATTTAGGACCTTGCTTTAAGTCAATAATTCCTTAATATTTATTTAAAAAATTAATTGTTCCACTGACAGATTTTTTCCAATTATGATTAAAAAAAATTATTTGTTATGTAACTTATAGGCATAAATTCAAGCATCATCAATTACCACGCCTCAGCCAACCAGCACCAGTTTGTCTCTCCGCTCCAGCCAATCACCACGCAAGAGCTCCTTAAAAAGGCCAAACAACCATGGATCCACCTGCTTCAGCCGCGTTTCGACCCACCTCTTCTCCATCTTCACCCTCATCCTCTCGGCCATCTTCCAGACTCAGCACGCACGACTTTTGCTCAGCGCCAAAGAACTTTGGCTCAATAAAACTTTCTAACTGCTGCTTTTTCTCTGTGTGAGTCTCTACAGATTGAAATAAGTGAATAAGCTGCCAGTGGGACTAATACTTTTTCATTAATATTAAAGAACTGTTGATATAAAACAAGCGCCTATATATAGATTTTACTGAACAGTCACTTCTAAGTTTGCTTTAGCCTCATTTATAGAAAACTAAGATATTTGTACTAGAAAAATTCTGGGTAATATTTTGTGTTTTTGCTGTGCATTTAATTGTAAAATAAAGCTAGTGGTTGTTTTTATGCTCCTGTAGAAGCAAAACCTAGAAACCAAATGAGGTAAAAAACCAAAACTGCTAACCAGAACCCAACCAGGGTCACCATAAGGGCAATCTGGGCACATGAACAGGGGCCCTTTGCACAAAGGAGCCCTTTGTGTTAATGGTGTCTTTGTGATGGTAGAAAGAATATAAAATGGAAGCTTACAATATTTGTCAAATCGGGTTAAAAGAGGAGTTGTTTTCAGCCTGGATTTCAGAATAATTACATTTGACAATGACCCATGACTGGCTAACGAAGTGTTAACTAGTGATCAAAAATGTGAACTAGATTGGATAATGTTTAAGACAAGTGAGCAGAAGAACGTGAATTATTTTCAATGACAGGACTGTTTTATTTCTGCCACTCTTTATCATTAAAATGCAAACACATTTCTACCAAGATATCTTTTTTCATATTTAGCAATATTCCACAGTGACTGTGGTGAAATGAAAGCACTGGGTCTTCCTTCCATTATCACAGGCTGCAGTTCTTATTGTATTCAATTTTAACTTGCCTGTAACCGGAGCTGCGCTGATGGCTAATGATACATTTTCAACACTTTTTTACTATTGAATAAATGTCAATTTACTAAAAAAAAAAAAAATCAAATGAAATCAGTGTGAGAATATGCTGCAAGAAGACAAATGATTTGGAAAATTGTTATTTTCCTCACGCAAAATAACAAGAGGTGATTTAAAGGAGAGGTGATTTAAAGGAGATGTTAAGCTAAATTGTAGCTTGAAACCCAGCAGAGGAGTCACATTATGACAGGTCAGTATTGGGTTAAGAGCTAATAAACAACAAATGGCGGTAAACTCCACTGGATGGTCAGATGCATTTGGGCTTCGACATACTGTAAACTTATGATAAATCCACAAGTAATGGTTGGCCATGGTATAGTGAGTTTGAGTGCCAAAAGCTAAAAGTAAGCATAACAAACGTTATAAAACCAACAGATAACTAATTACTCACGCTGCTAGGCCTTCATATTTGAGAATCTTCAAAGCGCAGTCCAGTGTGCTTTTATATTTATGAGCTTCCAGACCCTTAAAAGACGACAGCATGATTACATGTAATAAGCACGATTTGTAGCAGTTTTCCAAAACCAAACTGAAGCAGTAGCAAAAAGCAGAGATCCTCTCTCCAGTGTGTTGCAGCCACTGTGTACCTGCATCCTTGTCTTGATGACGTCTAAGGGCGTGTTTCCAAATACACTGGCTGCCCCTGCTATTGCCCCGAATGCTCCAGTAATGAAGGGATTAATAGTTTTGTTTTGATCATCACCTAGTGGCAGAAAAAGTGAGGTAACATTCATTCACACTTGTCTATTATCTAGACAAACACATTTGATGAATTTAATATATCCATATAAAATGAAATTTCCCACATAAATACATTGACATAAATATCAATGTATTTATGTATAATTTTATGCAATGTGAAAGAAAAATTCTACAAAGATTGCAAATCTTTTCAAATCAAAAATCTTAAAAGTGTGGTGTGCATTTGTGTTCTGCCACTAAATAAATACTTTGCAATATTCCAGACGGTTTTGCACATCTAGAAACAAATCCTAGATGTTCAAACTCTGTCAGGTTTAATGAAGACCACCAGTTCTCAAATTCGTCAACTAGATTCAGGATTGAACATCCAGCAGCTAAATATGAATTCATCTAAACTGGTGGAGTTCAGGCAGTCCTCAAAGGCCAGCATCCTGCAGGTTTTACATGCAGTTCACTGCAGTTCACATGTGGACATTATTTTATAACCTAAACTTGCTCTAGATTTTTCCACAACCTTATAGTTGCCGATCTGTGTGTTCCTTGGTTTTCATGATGCTGTTTGCTTACCAAAGTTTTATCTTCACAGATTAAAGTGAAAGTGGCTGAGTACAAATATGTGAACATGGACTGTATTTTAAACCTCTGAAAACTGTTTGCAATTGTCCCTCCACTTCAAAATAATGCACTTTTTGTGTCGCTCTCTCACGTAAAATCCCAATAAAACACAATGAAGAAATTTAAAGGTGTTAGTACTTTTGCAAGGAGCCAAATTCCTCCTGCTGATGTTACTCCCATCTTCACAAATGAAATTAAACAAACACCAACAGTGTTTGTGCACACTGACCTTTGTACCAGTTCTTTAAAGACGTCATTACAAAGAAGCGAATAGCCTGGTTGGAGCCTTGTTTGAGGACCGTCGCGGTCAAACCCTGATATGTCCCTCTTAGCCCTGTTCAGGCAGAAAGACAGAGATCAACATCACTCAGCTGTACTAAGTTAATCAAAGTGATCAACACAGGTAACGTCAAGATTATTCAGCTGCTATACTCTGAGTGTCCAGCAGAGGTCAGATGAGTCACAAATATTCAACACATTTTTTACCTTGTGACCTGATAATCTCTCTCACTCCGTGGAAGAAGCCCTTGTACTGGGGTTTGGCCGAAGTCTGGTCATGAATGAATTTAACCTTGGAAGATAACAAAGGGAACCAACAGGACAGAAAATATTACTTTACAGAGAAAACACACACTTGAGGAAGTGAAAGCCGAATTAAGGTTTTGTCTATTTCACAGACAAGGGTAAAAACTTTTCAATAAAATTTGAGTTCAGGAGAATTCAATACTTTTGTTGCCTCCCAACAGATTTACCGAGTAAATCAGTCCACAGACTTTTCATGTAACCAATTATTAGACGTCTTCAGCAAACAAATTAGCTCAGTCAATAAACCATAAACCAGATTCTAATTAATACCTTGACGGTTTCCATGGGACAGACCACCAGCACGGCCTCCATGACGCCCGCACCGAGCCCACAGAGGAGGCCGCGGGTGCTGTCCAGTCGGCCGTTCTCATCCTTCGCCCGGTTACTGAGGAACTCAAACATGCCGAATCTGACAGAGAAACAGCAGTGAGCATAAAATGTTAAATTAGAAGATCACCAGCAAAATGAAGTCCTGCTTTTCCTTCGATTCCAGAAAGAAGCTGTACATGATGACAGTAGATTCATACAACTTATTTTGAGATGAGTTACATTAAAATGCAGATATTTACTAGAAAAACAATTATACTGAATGACTCATTTTACTTTGGCATCACCGCACACCAGGCGCTAAACTGGCCAACACTTGATTCCATCTCATATTTTTATAGATGACAATATGCTGAAAGTGCAAAACACGTGGAAGGGTTTTGTTTTATTGTGCTGGCTGCTGTGTCTTCATTACAGACGCTCCAATAAACCACAGCAGTTCTGCAAACAACGAGTGACCAGCAGCAGCTGCGACTGAGGCCATTCCAGACAGAAAGGTGCGGTTCCTGCATCTATGCGATCAGTGAACGTCGTGCCAGCGAGTCCGTTACGAGAAAGGTTATTTATAGATGGAAATTGAATTGTGGTGACAGCAGGACGCTGCCTGGTAGGCTTCCTGAAAGGGGAGTGGCAGGCCGAGTCTTAATAAATGCAATGTTATCCTCTCTCTCCTTCGACCGTTCACCTGCCATCGTCTTTGCTCCAGCAAAATAATTTTTTCTTTGCTGGGCTCATGTAAGCCCAATTTTATTCTCCATCTGCCTTTCTGCTGCAGTAGGTTTCTCCGCTCATTATGGCTCCACATCTGTTCGTCACGGATTCAGACGAGACGGCTTTGAGAGGCAGGTTTTCTACCGTCAGAACTTCTCTCTTTTTGCACATGAATCAATATAAACTGCTTCTTAGCATTGGAATAAATGAAGCACATGTCCACAAAAAGCTTCCTTTGATTCCACATGGTGGTAGAGCCCTTATTAACTACCTCTGTGAATCAAACGCTGTTCATTAAAGGCTGCCAGGGAGAATTATGTCGGTGTCAGGCCTGCTCTTCTGCCAATTTACTCTGCTCAGCCGTTTAACATGTGGACTACACTTTATGGTTAAAATATGACATCTTTTGGCCGACACCCGCAGTCAGAGATGAGTCAGCCCACAGCAGAGACAGAGCTGCACAATCTTCATTAAAGGGACTTCCTACAAGGTCAGTTCCTGTGTGAGAAGAGAAGGTGAAGGATGAAAACATTGCAGTGGAAGGAATGAGCCACGAATAAAAGAAGAGTATCGATATGAACGGGGGGTTAATAGGAGGAAAAAGCAAGTGGCTCGATTGGACGTCCATCTTATTCCTCCCTGGCAATCTTCCATGATGATACTGAGCTAATCAGCTAATGGGATGGAGGAGGAGGAAAGTTGGGGACACAAAGGGAGTGATAGAGAGGAGGATAAGAGAATAAGATAAAAATAGAAAGTCACATCAAGCTGTGGTTAAATGAAAACTGCCAATGTTGTCCACTAATCAAATGCTTTGCCTGCACTGTAAAACATTGAGCCGCTTTTAGTTGTGTCTACCATCTTCTACTCTTCAAGTGAAACAAATGTAGTGAGTTTTAGGTTTTTAACTTAAGTTTTTTTATTAATTTTGTCAAACCAATTTTTAGGTTAGGACTTAAAAAAACTGAAAGAAGGAAAAGACAGGAGTCTGCTCCACAAAGAAGAAGAAACTGGATGGACAATGGACAGAAAAACTTAACATCCAACTTGATTTGTTTCCTCAGAGAAAATTTTCCTTCAAGTTGACAAAAACACAACCCCAGCTCCCTCTGTAAATGATGCTGAAAGCTGACAGACACATGTGAATTTACACACACCCAAAAGCACACACCCTCCCTGCTAATACACACAAACACAGCAGAGTCTCAATCTCTGTAGCCCCATTGAGACTCTGTCTGAGTTTGAATGGCATCTTTGCTTCGCCTGACTGGGCCTGTCTCTCTATCATACAGACACACTCTACCCTCCAGCACACACACACACACACCCCCCCCCCCCCCCACACACACACACACACACATGCCGACAGTGAAAGAATGAGAGGAACCGAGTGAAAAAATGAAACAAAAAGCAACAACAAAAGCAGCCAGCTTTGGTTTGTGACGTATGTGTGTGCGTGCACGTGTGTGTGTGCGTGCATGCGTGTGTGTGTGTGTGTGTGTGTGTGTGTGTGTGTGTGTGTATACCAGGTTTTCATATCCTTTTGGGAACCTATTTCTGTCTACAATGTAGTGTTATGAGGTAAATTTTTGTTTTTGTGTAAGTGATTAGGTCTGTTAAGGTAAGCTTTAGGTATGTGATAGTTAGGGTTGGGTTAGGATTATGGTAAGGGTTAGGCTGTAGAAATTAATGTGAAGTCCCCACAAGAGATGAAAACACACACGTGTGTGCGTCCCTGCTTGCACAAGAGGTACTGTGTGCACATTTGTCTGTAGATAAATGTCAGTGGTGGGAAAAAAATAACATAATTACTGTATACTGAGCGCTAGTGTGGCATTTGTGCCAAGCCTTTGGGTAATGGGCTGGAATAATTGGACTGCATGAGTTAGAAGTTTCAGCTGGGAAACCATCACAGCTTAACTGGTTTTGTTTTAATCAGCATTTGTTCACCTTGTGAATTTAAGCTGAAGGTTTTATATATAATTATACAAAACCTGTGGTTGGTATTATAAATGCAAATTTTAAAACATTCTCTAATTTGCAAGGCAAACTCTTAAAATTGATTAAGCATTAGCCTTTTCAATATATTTGTTACTCTTCATTGTTTCACTCACCTGACTGCAGATTTGGGTATGGATCCATACAGCAGTGAGCTGAGTCCTCTGTAAAGTCCTTTAACACCGTGACTCTGCACTGTCTGCTTCACACAATCACCTGGAAAGAGACAGACGTTCAAATAAATTAAGAGAATAAAGCAGCTTTCTACTTAACGTCCTTATTCATAGGAACCAGCCTGAGCTGTAGCACAGAATGCTACTGCAGGAAGCTAGTAAAGCTGCTTACATCAGATTTAGATTCATAAAATCCATGGGAATCACAAAAAATGCCTAAAAAGACATTTTTGATATAATATTATTGACTCTACATCAGGAGTCTTCAAATTCAGTGTTGGACCAGAGACACAGTGAAGACCCATGCTCTTATGTGTCCAAAGTCTCATCACCTGTTTAACCTGTTTCTCTTCTTAAATCTATGTCTCTCAGCTCCAAGATTAAATACAGATCAATTTGCCCTTAGACATCAGTTCAACTGCAAATCTCATTTCAAAAACTAAGGGAGCAAATTTTTATGACCTGTATTTTAATTTTGCCTCCTGGCATCCAAGGAGATGTTTTTATGGTAAGATTATTGCTTGTTGCCAGGCAGCAACCTTTCTCCTGGATAATTATTGTTCTCAGCAGTTTTCCGTATTGGTTTTGCTGATTATCTTCCTTTAAAATTGTGAATTAAAAACCACCACATGAAAGTCAGTGTTAGCACAAATTATTTGTATCCAATGAAACCAAAAGTTTTCCTTTCGACACTAGTCCAGAAATCTGTGTGGTTTCACAAAACCGACAAGCAAGAAAAGCAACAGCTGTGTGGAGTGCTAATTAGCATCATCTTCAATCCTCAGAGTCCCAGCAGACATCAGCAGATCCTGGCTGTGTTTGTGTGCGATGCGAGGCAACCATAACGAGCACTGAGCTCTTCAGCCGCATAAACGAGCCTGGTGACGGCTCTCCAGAAACGGTGAGGCACCTGAAGATGTCGGGTAATTAGATAATAAGCGCCAGAGAAAGAAAATAAGATGGGGTGGATACCTATTCCTCTGTATTTTGGTGGGTTGGCCTTCTCGTCCAGTTGTAGCTGCGTTTTCACGTACTCTGTGGGGAAAGTGATGCAGATCTCTATGCCACCGGCGATTCCACCTGGGAATAAAGACAATAAGAGTAAATACTGCACTGACCACAAAATACAAATAGCTAGCCGAAACCTGAAAATAAAAGTGTTGCTGTTTCCTTACTGCCATGTGAATGTATTGTTCTACAGCTTATTGTTTAATAACCAATTATTGTACGATAAATTTTAAAAAATGTCAGTAATTTAAATTCTGATGATTAATATTTTTCGAAAGACAATTTTGTTTGCAGGGACATCATAATCCATTTTAATCATGGTTTTATTATAAATGGTTTTTATTTCAGTTTTATTTATTGTTCTTTGTTGATGTGTTTTTACTTTGTTTATTTAAAATATCTTCCGGTTTCAGGATAACTTGTTAAAATAAAGTTTATTGGTTTTAAGAGGGTAAACTTGCACTGTTATGCCATCAGTCATTTTTTGCAGAAAAAAATTATTGTGAATGAATACTTTTCTGTCTGGATCTTTTTCCTGGCATGTTGGATGCTACCTTAACCAAGCATTACTCAGCCCCCCCCATGAATTACATCATGGATCATTACAGTGACGCCACAAATAGCTTTTAGTCCATAAACATTAAAAGCTCCACTGCAGAGGGAGAAAAAGTAATGAGGTCGCCAAAGATGAATCATCTGCTCCTGCAATGGCTCAACTGGACCAAAAGAATAAGAAGGAAAGTCATAAGAGGACCATAAAGCTCGCTGGAAAAAATAGGAATAAGAAAATAAATGTGTGTAGCAGCAGCAAGGTTCAGTCAGAAACCAGCCTCAGCGGGGATGAGTCACATCGGAAGGAGGGACAGAAAACGAAGGTTGGTATTAATTAAATTATCCTCTCAGCCGGTGGGGAGGGTCTCCATTACCCAGGCCAAGAGCCTCCATTAAGTCAATGACACAAAAATGCACTCTAAGAGAGAAACACACTTATTGTCTTCTTGAACATCATGCATTACAACCAGTTACACTTTTTCAAGCTGATAAAAAGATTATATTTTGATTATTTAAATCAACTAATGTGTAAACCTGATCAGTCTGGAGTTTGCTACGTCATGAATTTATTAATGTCCTATAATGTGAGTTGAAATTCTATTCCAAGCTAAGCACTCATCCTGTGTCTCACAGTCTTTTATTGCTTTATTTAAATTCTGGACAGATACCGCAACGTGTCAGGTTGCATGATTGATAGAATAATGAGTCAGAATAAATTTAGGACCAATCAGACCTCAAACTACTGTGTGTTATGAATGAAAATCTAAAACCACTACGAGATTACAATGACAGAATATTTTCTCAAGCTCACTAATCACTTTTGATTTGTCTCAGCTTTGAATGCAGCAGAACATGAAAGAATTGCAAGATTTCTCACATCAAAGCATTTATTGCTAACCTTTAATTTTTTCAAACTTAACTCTAAAAGTGGAGGCGACAACCAAGTTCATGTTGGTTCATGACCTGCTGCTCTCGATCTCAGACCTTCTGACTCATGTATCTCTGCTACTGACCTGATTACTCTGACAGATCGTTTTTGGTGACGTCTCCTCGTCCCAAACATTTCCTCCTACACAGCAAATACTCTCTATCTTTGCTGTTTGTTATCTTCTTTGGGCGAAAAGTGTGGCAGTGACAGAAAAAATGAGTGGACCAACTCTCAGGCGGCAGCACACACAAACATGATCAATCCTCATCAGATGTGCAGCATCTGTAATGCAGCCTGTCTGTCCACCAGTTCATTTTGCAGCCTGCATCCAGCACGGATTCACACACACACGTATCTACCTACATGTTTACAGGTGACAGTCTGATGAGTCTTGTGTATCTGCCAAATGTAGGTTACACAAGAAAAAATGGCCATTAATCTTTATCTGCAGACTCGCTTCCCTCTCCTAATAAATTCTCTATTTTCTTTCCTTCAGCAGTATCTTCCCTCACCTCTCCTGTTTCTCAGGTTTCCCAACATAATGCCTTGAAAATCAATACATCAACACAAACCTTTGACACTTGCTCTTACAGAAGAAAGAAATTGCAACTACAATGTGGAGAAATCCAGAGGTGCTGAGAAATATTACAGCACCTCTGACGAGTCTGAGGTGCTTCGCAGACACTTTTAAAGCTGAAATATCCACAGACTGAGTGTATTTTACATCAATCTGACACACACTGAAGGTAATGCAGTCACTCTGACCAGACAGAGAAAATTAACAACTTAATCAAACCCCTACTCTTCACAACTGGGCCTGGGCTCATGCTACAGACAGACACTTCCAAACATACGTGAAAAACTATATGAAATGCTTTAATGCATGAGCATAGAGCGTCTAATTTTAAGATCCGATCCATTAATTCTCTCCTGGATTCATATGAAAACATGTTCATGAAACTAGCAACAGCAGAGTTGGATGCATAAACAATGTAGATTTTTTGAAAGGCTCCATCTGCTGTCATTAAAAAAAATTAAGTTAAAAACTGAAAAAAGAAAAATTAAACAAAAGAAGTTTTGGTTTTGTTTATACCAACATTTTCCAGGTACAAAAAAATCCATGTTTAACATTTTTTACCCAACTGGACAAGTGATTAGTACGGTTCAATAATTTACCAATCGTCTACCATCAGAAAATGTGATAAAGTATCTCCAATAAATAAGGCAAGACATGAATCTAATTTATACACCACAGAATAAAAGCAACCATCGTTGCCTGAAAGTGTTTCACAAGATTAGAAATTTAATAATCCATAACAAATAACAGTAATAGAGGACAGAAAACAACAATCACAACCACAATTAATGTTAAACATGGGGTAACTTAAAGTCTGAAAATAATCCAAATTTAATAATTTGCAATGTGTGTCATGTTTTATATTTTTTTATATTTATCATAATTTATCCAAAATACTTATCTCCCAATAGAAAGCAGAGGGGCCTGTTGTTTCTCATAGAAATAGTGAGACAATATTGAAACATTAATATTATAACATGGTTTTAACAAAAAAAATTAATTATTGACTCAGTAAATACAATATTGAATTAAACTGAGACAAGGGTAATGATTAAATAAGTTTTAACTTCTTCCTACTCGTTTTCAAACAAAAGAGTCGTGGTAAATAAATTATTTTGTTCTTGGTTTGCTTGTCTTGTTTTTAAAAACCCTGTTTGAGAATAAAGAAATCAAATCAGATTAAACAAAATGGAATAATTTGCTAAACGGACATAAAGAAGTTGGTTGAAGGGAAGAACGTATCATTTGATGTTTCAAAAATGGAGGTTCAAATTAGCAAACTTCTGCTATTTCATTTTAAATCACCATTCAAAATAATTTCATCAACGGAAACAGGAACAAATATATGACAAGTTAAAAGCCAGTTCTTTGCAGAACAGAGAGAAGCGAAGCAAAGTTGAGCCAACATGCATCCAGCTGAAATCCTGCTCTCCCTGATGCTGAATCACTAATGAGCCTCGGACACATCTGTCCCACTATCAACTTTCCCTTTTCATCGGGATATAATGACAACCAAGCATTGAACAGAAGTCAAGCTCCAAATCCTTCAATATTTATTTTTCTGTGGAGCATGACAGAAAAGGGTTTTACTTTGCAAAGCTCACATAAAAAGAAAAGACCAAAAACTGGTCTGTTTGTAGGCGAGATAGGCAAGGCGTCAGTTTTGCAGGAGAATTGAATATTAATCCTGATCATCTTCTATGTCATAAAAATCTCCAGAGGGAGAAATACAGCAGAGGAGGTCAGAGGGAAACTTGTTGTTTTGTCCACATTTCCAGTCCAAAGGAGCTGAGAGTGTAGCCAAAGGAATGATGCACTTCAAACATCAGGTCTCCTGTTTGCCGTCTGCAAAGATGAAAAGAATTATTCATCTGACGCCTGGCCTTTCAGGCTTTCTCTGTCCTGAACAACACTCTCTAATTCAGCTGCTGACGCCTAATTACAGGCAGGATGTTGATTAATTTTACATGGAAACTGCTTAAACTGCTTACAGCCCTGCAGCATGGAGGAAACGGGCTGATTTACAAGAGGAGGACAGATAAAGGTCCGGTTGTTTAGACCGTCTGTGCAACTAGAGATACTGCTGTAGGCTTTATACTGGGACGGGATGAAACACTGTTGTTTTACATGAACAGTATTTATGCACCTTGTTAAGTCAGTGGTAACTCACAGCCTGTTCTGGTTGCACACAGACTTTCTAATTATGAGTTTGTGTAAACAACTAAAATTAAACTGGCATCGAAGTTTCATCTAAGAGGCGTTGTGTATTATTTTACTACTTTAAATGTTTTAATTTGTTGCTGAATGTAGTGATCACTATATTTTGCATTTTGATGATTAAAGGTTTGCCAAATTACTCCAAAACACTCTCGCTGTAGCTTCTCCAACTTGAGACCCTAAAAACCAAAATTTTTATCATTACTTTCAAACTATTATAAAAATACTGTTTTCTGAACATTTAGTTGTTCCAGAAAACATTTGTGGTAAAACAAAGTATAAAGCAATATTTACCTTTTTTTCTGCAGAGGGGATTTTTGGATTAAGTTAAAAAAAATTTTGGCACTTCTGCATCAAAGGTAATGTCTGATTATAAATGTTATTCATCTTGACTGAAATTTTTGTTATCAATATTTACTGAAGCATTTAAATCATGATAGGATCATTTTCCTGGAAAGAAGAATAAAAACTAAGCTTTAACTTTGCTATTTTAACCTCAGTGTTCATGAGACACATTCTCCCAATAAAATTAAATAAACGTTTTTACAGGCTTCTCTCAAATCTCCATTACTAAAAATAGCCAGTTTGTCTGAGCACTGATGCAGCACACTTATCAATTTGATTAAATTACCAAAACTATGTCTAACCCACTCCAACAGGAAGAAAATGATCTATGTGGCCTTTTTCCACAGAGACAGGTTTCCCCCACAGGACTGCGAGCTGCAGACGACAGAGAAAATAGGATTTGTCACCTTTAAAAGATTGTTGATGGAGACCATTTTTCAAATCTAAAGTGTT